TCTAAGAAGCAGCGATGTGATCTGGGACATAAGAGTAAGGGACATGAAAGTGTGCAAGGTATGTGGATAGTTCAAGTGAAGACTTCATTTGTGGTTTGGTAAGTTGAGTAGGAGAGCAATGCTTGATCTTGCTCTCATCTAGTGTTCTACTTCCACGATGAAGAGCTCTGTTATTCATTTATTCCATAATAATCTCCTACATTGAATCTCTTGCTACGCTGTTACTCCTTCTAAGGCTATTCTCCATGGTCTCCATGGCCTCCAGTCCCTCTGCTCCAAGTCTTTTCATAGGCTAACACTCCTATTCTGGCTACACTCTTCTTCCTTCCCAATCTTGACCCATTAGTTACCCAGTTCAATTCTACACTATCCTTTTTTTCTTGCATCTCTTGCTTCCTCCTATCATCATGACTTTCCAAACCATCCACTTCTTCCACTCTTACTTAGGAATTGCTGAATGGAGCCAGAGGAAATCATGTAATTATACTGACTGAGTTGTGTGTTTGCAGAAAGATAATTCTTTAACTCTGCTCTAATTGATCCTCTATCCTCATCTTCACTTAGAGCAGCTGTTCTAAACCTTCTCTTCTCTTCTTTGGAATGAGAGACAAGTTCTCCTGACTCCCAGCATAGGGTGCTGCTATTCATTGTGCCACTGTAGGCTTCAACAAGGCTATTAAAAAAATTTCAAAGTGATTTCTGGGGGAAAAAAAGAGTTTTTTAAGATGACTGTTACTTTCACTTGCATTTTAAAAATTGATGAAATAAGAAACAACAACAACAACAAAAAGCATTTATATAGAGCTTTAACATTTACAAAGTACTTTGCAAATATTATCACATTTCATCCTCACAAAAATCCTGGGGGTGGTGGTGGTGTGGTGCAGGTGCTATTATTGTCCCCATCTTATAGATGAGGACACTGAGGCAGATGGTGGGGAAATGACTTTCCTAGGTCTCATAGCTAACAAGATTTCAACTCAGGTCTTCCTGATTCCAGGCTCAGTGATCTATCCAATAGTTTCCAGGAGTAAGAGCAGGAGAAAATATATTGAAACATTTCTTAAAGCATATGCATGCCATGGACTTTAAAGACATAATTGACGGAAAAGTAGAAAGAAAATAAGACAAATAGCTTATATCTATGTGATGTATGTTTTACAACATTCCCATGAAGAAGGTAATGTAATTATTACTTTTCTCATTTTGCCAATAGGGAACTTGAGGTTCAGTATTTCAAAGCTGTAAGTTATAGTAAAAAGAGCACTGGGCTTCGGGATCAGAAGCCCTGAGTTTGAATTCCCGCTGTTCCACTTACTAGTCCTATAATCTCGGGAAAGACACTTAACCTCTCTGTAACTCAATTTCCTTATCCTTAACAGAAGGTGTTAGACTAGGTAATCTCTAAGGGTCTTTCCATCTCTGAAGACCTATGTATAATTCTATCAATTTCCTGCTGTCACATGGCTAGTAAATGACAGCGATTTGACTAAAACCCTAATCTTCTGTCACCAAGTTTGATATTCTTTCCTAAGGGTCTGTCCCGAAGGAGGGTTATGGAGATGCCCTGCTAGGCTGCAGATTTAAAATATCTACCTCCACAGCAGGCAGGAATGAGTGGAAACATTTAGCCAAAGAATAGAGAAACACCTGGGAAGTACTGATCTAATTATGGACAGTTAGGCATGATTTCTCTTTTGTAAATTTGTGCTAACAATGCTCTCTGAATTTTTCAAAGAAATAACAGAAAGAGCTGAGTAGAGGAAGTGTGGACATAATTTCTCAGGAAATTTCAAAAAGCATTTGATATATAGTAGAACTGTACAAAGGACTAATCAGCACATGGGGGTGCAAATGATGAGCTCCTCAAGGGATAAAGCCTGATTTGGATATCAATGACAGGAGCCAGACACAGCAGTGTCTGGCAAGAGTTCACAATGGAAGGAAATGGTGGAGGTCTGCTGTCCAGAATCTACAGATGGATAGAAATGTCTGGCTCTCTCATAATAAATGATGTCAGACAATATAAAGGTGAAAACATTGTGAAAATACAAAGCTAGAGAAAACAGGTAGTTTAAAAAGAGAGTCAAAAGAAGCTAAATTTGAATATACAAATAAAAAAGAGAGTACTATGCTGAACATACCACCATCCTAACATTCCAAACTTTGGTTTCGACATAATCCAGAGGCTTTGGCTTCTCAGCTTAGGGGCATCATAGAACTAGATCTCTTCGGGACATCTAGTCAATTGCTTTCTTTTTTTCAAATGAGGAAACTGATGCCTAGTGATAACTTGTTGAAGATCACACATTTTGTCTTTATTCATCCTGTAAACTGCCATATAAATATCAGCTATTATTATTGCTGTTATTATGCTTCCATACTTCAGGGACCTGTGATTTCATTGGCAGGAGCTCCATCTGGTAGACAGTATTTGAGACTTGCAATGGCCAAAAGTGCAGGTCAGTTTGATTAGCTCTTTCCAAAAGAAATGGGTAGATGAATCATGCATATAGAGACAGCTAAAGTGACTAATGAACATCTGTTAAAGCAGGATCTCATTCCAAAGGATTCTGTCAATGGAAGAGCTGTAATTCAAACTCTGGTCCAGTGACTCTATATTCAGTGCTCTTTCCACAACTTTGGTGCACTAGGTTTGGGACTATAAGACCTGGGTCTGAGACGTGGTCCTTCTCATTATTAGATTGTGTGCCCATGGTCAATTTACCTGGATGGCACTCAGTCTCCTCATCTTTAAAGTGAGGACAGTAAAGTACCGTGAAAGAGATCTTATAAATTATCTGATAGAACCTACTTATATTCTAGATGAAGAAACTAAATCCAAGTAAAGAGAAATGATTTGCCCAAGCAAGGAGAAGATAAGGATTTCTATCCAGGTCCTTGATTCTAAATCCAGAGCTCTTTCAACTGCTTGCCAATATTACTTAGCTCACAGAGCTCTTGTAATTTAACACTATATAAACTATAAAACGCATACAAATGTGAGATATTACTAAACTATTTGGAAGTGGGAAGGGCAGAAGTATGCAGAAAACCAGGCCATAAGAAGTCGTTGGGGAGGTTTCCCATTTCAAGGTGAATAAACAAAGGCAAGCATTTTATCGTGGGGAAGACACTATATAAAACCATAAAGCACTATTAGGAACATGAGCTCTTACCATTTGAGTTATTTTCTTTGCCTTTGTTCCTGCTATAAACTGCTGTATAAATGTCAGCTATTATTATTGCTGTTATTATGCTTCCATACTTCAGGGACCTGTGATTTCATTGGCGGGGGCTCCATCTGGTAGACAGTAGTTGAGAGTTACAATGGTCAGTAGTGCAGGGCACTTTGATTAGCTCTTTCAAAAAGAAAGGGGCAGGGGAATCATCCATATGGAGACAGCTAGAATGCCTATTGAATATCCACGAATATAGGGTCTCTTTCCAAAGAATTCTACCAATGTTGTTGTTTAGCCTTATCTGACTTGCTTGAAATTGCTACATTTTATAAAAGCCTCTAGCTTCCTTTGTGTTTCTCAGAATAAAATATGGTCACCTACAAGATCTACACATCATCCTTTCCATTCTTGTTTGGAGAAAGCCCACTTTCTGGAACCAGTTACCTCTGCAGCCTTATGTTCCTGGCCCAGCCAAGCATGGGGACCGATCCAGTGGAAGTAAAGCTGACCCAAAATGCACACATGTCTTCTCCAACCATCATGTGTGAGGGAGAATGCCCATGTGTTTTGTGTATCATTCTAAACTCTGTAGTTAGAGCTACTCAATGGGAGACTTTGTCTATGTTCTCTAAAATCCTGAAATTGACCAGCAAAGTCCAAACATTTTGTTACCCTTATGGCCAACGTAGTGATTTAGGCATCTATATTTAGCTAGTCTGGCTCTTTTACCTGTGACTCCAATAAGCTGTAGCATGAGCAGTGGCCACACTCTAGTAAAACCATCTTGGCAGATGGGCTAAATCAGGTTGAAAGTAACCGACATGCCTCAGACCCATTGGTGAATTACGGGGAAGCCTACCCCAAGCAGGTGAAGATTTCCCCTGGTGGAATGGGCAGATGAGAACATTTTTCTTCTAATGGTCTCAAAGGCATCTGAAGCAGGCTTTGTAGAATGATTAGAGTTTGGCCATACATTGAAGATGTCAAGGTCATCCATTGCATCCCAGGTCATTGCTAGTCATTTTGACTTTTATTTTGTCACTGAAATTCCATGACTCTGGAAGAGAGAGTGAGGCTGATGACTTTGAGCAACTCTGCCCCATATTAATCCAATTCTTTCACAAGTCATCACCTAGTGATGTCATTAGTCTCAAAAATGAAGCATGAACAATAGTTTATAACCCTATACAGTCCCCTTCTTTCCCTGCCTCCCCACAAATCCCAAGTCCAGTGCCTAGGCCTCAGTTTTCTTAACAGTGAAATGAGAAGTTTGAGCTAGTACTAGGATAGGCTTCCTACAGGAGGTGACATCTGAGCTAGGTCTTAAAAAAAGTCAGCAATTTTAAGAGATGGACGTAAGTGGACAGCATTCTAGGCATAGAAAAGTCAGTGTAAACACATAAAGACAAGAGATGGAATATTATTTTGGAGGAGCAACAGGTAAGCTAGTATGCCTAAATAATATTATCATCTGGTGTTGTGTGTATGTGTATGTGTATGTGTGGGGAAGAGCTGTTTCACGTACCCACTGAATATTCTCTTGAAAGATACATACCAGTAACCCATTCCCTTTTTCCAATAGCTTATTGATACTTACCCAGCATAACCCTATGTAGTCCCCCTTCCCCCCATCCCTTTCACATCTCCCAAGCCCAGTCCCTTATTATTTCACACTGTCTTTTAGATAGAATTAGACAGCAAAGATAGATCTATATAGATATTTATTATACAAATATTATAGTATAAACAATCATCATATTAAAATAAAACATATCTTATAATAATAGATGTCTGTTACATAAATATATATTTGTTCGGCAAATGCCTATATATCTATAGACGTTACATATTTTTATATTTATTATATCAATATCTATCTTTCTATTAATCTATTTAGGAATTAGGGCAGTAACTGACCAAAGGCTACCAAATGATCAAATTCCAGTTGCCCTTTGCATTCCTTTCTCTGGTCCTGCTAAATATTCAGACCTCACTGGGGTAAGCAACCTGTTAAGTAGAAAGAGGGAGTGATCTGAGAGCTATAGCAACAAACGAATGTGGAGAATGTGCCCACGGACCATTTTTGTGCCTAATTATGCCAGTATACAAATCAGTCAAAGCAGCTGTTTGGGGGATTGCATTTCATTGACTCCAGATTAGGAGAGCTTTCCAAAGGTATTCATCAACTGTGACACTGCGCCTGTCTTTTTCATCCTTCAGAGCCTGCTCTGTAAGGTGCTGTTATGATTCACACATCATTCACACTGGAATATCAGTAACAAAGCAGGGTTTCAAGCAGGAGAAGTTCTAATTAGGAGTACAATATTTGCTTTTTGTCAGCACCTAATTAGTTTCACCGTATTCCTGTTTATGAAGGTGACTTGGTTATAATCACAGTTCAATGAGGAAGAGTTATGTAATATATTCTATTGTGGAGGAATATGGCTAAGATCCCTGGAGGTCTTCCCCGTCATTCTGTCCACACACCAACACACATAGCATAGAGATACCAAATAGTCACATTTCACTCTCCTCACTATTTCCTTCACAGTATGACAGACACATTAATCAGTAAAGGGGAAAATGTATTATTATTTTACCATCTGATAAATCCCATTCCAAGAGCTCGTAGGTTTGTGAATTTTTCAATCATTAAAGGTTCACAGCATTTCCCTCATTTTGTGGGAATTCTTTTTTTTTTCTTCGAGTGGGTTAGAATGACGTGTGCATGACAGAAAACTATACATTGGTAAAATTCTGTAAAAAAAAAAAGTACCATAATTAGGTTTATAGAGGATTTAGTATGGATGGCACCCAAAATACATGTTAGAAGATAGAATGTAAGAGCCAGAAGGGACTTTAAAACATGGAATATCTCAGTGTAAGAGCTGGACTGAGGCTTAGAACATAGAATACTAAATCATATTATTGAAAGTTAGAACTAGAAAGAGACCTTGGAGATAATTCAGTTTAAGCTTTTTGTTTTACAGATGGGCAAACTGAGATCCAGAGACAGATGATTTGTACAAGATCACTTAGTAGAAGTAGGAATAGAATTCGCATCTTCTTCCTTCTAGGCTAGTGTTCTTAAAATAAATGGGAGTGGATGCAAAAGTCTAGGTAAGTATGCCAGGATCTCTGTTGAAAAACTTGTATTCCTTTTAAGATGGCAAGTTAGGCATGGCCATTGTTTTGAATAACCCTTTAAAGGGAGTCTGCGAATAAATAGGCCTTTTCATTTGTGCCTAGAGTAGTTACATATAATTACATAATATTAGGATAATAGAATTAGAGAACAATAGGACTAGCTTGGGAAGAAACAGCAGAGGCCAGCTAGGTGGTACAGTGGACTTGGAGTCAGGAAGACCTGAGTTCAAGACACTTTTTAGGTGTGTGACCCCGGGCATCTGACCTTTTTCCTCATAAGTAAAATAAGGATAGTAATAGCAACTACTTCATAAGGTTATTGTGAGGATCAAATGAGATCTGTGTAAAGAACTTTGGAAAACTCAGACTGCTACATAAATGCAAGCCATTATTATTATTATTAGCTAGTCCAACTTCTTTATTTGACAAATAATGACAGAAGAACATACATGGGATCCTTGAGAGCAGAGATTTTCTTTTGCTTTTCTTTTTATCTTCAACATATGGCCCAGGGACTGGCACATGGTAAACACTTAATAAATATCTTTGACCAATTGATTGATATTCTAAAGCTAGAAGCAATTACCAAGATTATGAAGACCAACCCCATCATTCTATAGATAAGGAATTTTCATAAGGTACCACAGGTAGCATAGTCATTCACAGAGCATTGGGTTATATATGTTTTAATGGGTTTGCAGGGGTATATCCTGAGATAAGTATTACCATTTGGCTTTCCATTCCTTCCCTAACCTTCCCTTCTCTTCCCTTCCCTTCCCGATGAAATTGACAGATAATAGAGTGTGATGGGGGCAGCTAGGTGGCTCAGTGAATAGAGTGCCTGGCCTGAAGTCAGAAACACTCATCTTCCTGATTTCAAATCTAGCCTCAGATACTTCCTAACTGTGTGACCCTGGGCAAATCACAACCCTGTTTGCCTCAGTTTTCTCATCTGTCAAATTATCTGGAGAAGGAAATGGCAGACCACTCCAGTGTCTTTGCCAAGAAAACCCCAAATGGGGTCACAGTGGGACACAACTGAAAAACAACCGCCCTACAACCATGAGATTAAAAGTGATGAGCTTATGCTGGAAGGGCAATCCTATTCCTTGGAGTAGAGGAGCAGATGCAAAGTTGAGACCCTTTTAGGTTTCCAGTTCTTTGATGCTTCCCCCTAGGTGTGTACTGGGACCATCTTGAGAGAGCCCATTGTTAAATTTTCAGTGTGAGCATTCACACCTTGGAAATTGGAAAATACTACAAATCTGACTTGATTTATTGTTTTGGTGAATGTCTAGATTTTAGAAAGTGATGGAGAAAATGCTAATCTTGAAGATTAAAATTTAAAAGTGTGTCATTCTGTTAAATATTTACTATCAGAATCCTGATTCCCTCTAGTTATCTAAATCTCCTCAATGAGACTTTTTTCCCCCAAGGACAGCCCTCTCCTTAACTTTCCTGTGCAGCTAAATCATTCTTCACTCCCTTTAATAAGTACCTTAACTTTTCCTTTAACTGTTCCTGATCTAAAATAGGAATTAGTCTGAGTAATGTAATGTGCAATATGTTTTCAATGTCTGATAAGGTTAACTTGAATTAGAGATAGTCTCAGGCTGAAAGAGGAGTTAAATTAAGGAAAATAAACTTGAGAGAATGTCTGGGAGAGACAGTCTCCCACTTTGCTCCTGACATCCAAACATCCTGATTGCTCCAAAAACAGTGTCAAAGATGTATCTCTGACAGGATTTGTGAGATAATCATTACCATCCAATCCCTTGTTAAAGGTTTCCAAAGTACTTTACATGTATTATTTCATGTAAGCTTTACATCAAATCTGTAAGTCAGGTGCCATTATTACCTCCATTTTACAAATAAGTAAACTTAGACTGAGAGTGGTTAAGTGACTTACACAGGGTCACATGGCTATTTAGTGCCAGAGGCAGGATTTGAACTGAATTCTCACTCCAAGTCTAGTACTCTAACTACTGAACCACCTAATTGCCTGATTTTCTGCGCCCAAGATCTCCAAGGGGAATACCATGCTTCTCCTGGAAACAAAATAGTGGCACAAACCCAATTTGACACTTAGTGAAAGCAGCTAAGGAAAGCTAAGTTCTGGCATCCACACTCTACCATTACTTGGTTCATTACCTCTCCCTTCTTCGAGGACTTTAAACTTTAGTAGGATGGACTAGCCTTTAAACACTAGCAAAAAGGGGCAGGGAAGAGAAGAGGAAACAAATATTTTGAAGTACCTACTATGTGCTAGACAGTTTACCAATGTTCTCTTATTTGATTCTTACATTAACCCCGTAAGGTAGTGCTATTATTATCCTCATTTTACAGATGAAGAAATAGGCATAGAAAAGTTAAATGATTCACCCTGGGCCACACAGCCACACAGCTAGTAAGTGTTTGAGGTCACGTTTGAACTCAGGTCTACCTACTTGAGGCCTAGCATTCTGTCTACTGAGCCAGCTAGCTGTTTCAAAGAAATCTTCCTGTTCTGGGCTAACATTTACTCGCAGTTGGTAACTCTCTCTCTCTCTCTCTCTCTCTCTCTCTCTCTCTCTCTCTCTCTCTCTCTCTCTCTCTCTCTCTCTCTCTTCTCTCTCTCTCTCTCTTTCTGTCTCTCTCTGTATCTCTCTGTGTGTGTCTCTCTCTCTATGTCTCTCTGTATATATGTGTATGTGTATGTGTGTGTGTGTGTGTGTGTGTGTGTGTGTGTGTGATAGACCTTGAACCTTCAGTCTGTTGGCTTGAGTTGTTGCTTTGTGCCTATACAGTTCAACTGCTATTTCTTCCCAGTTTGAGGTAAATCCTCCTCCTCCGAGCTTCCTATGGAAAAATGGGGGCACCAGCCAAAAAACCTTATTTCTGAGCTGTTAAAATGCAAATAGCCTATGGGCAAGATAGTGCTTGGAGCCTTATTTGCTTACATTGTAGTGTAAATAAGTTCATCAGGACCTTTTCTCTAGGCAGATTTGGGCAAGGGAAAAGGAAGGAAGAACAGAAAGCACCAGCCACCTGAAGAGGAAAATATAGACGGAGGAGAGGACATTGAAAAGTGATGCGAAACTTGCATCTTTAAGAAATATGCCCGCTGGAGAAAGAGATAGTGACTTAATGGTGGCAGATCTGAAAACTAATAGACTCATTTTGGAAAGAAATTTGACAGTGCACAGTAAAAGTTTCTAAAATAACCATACCCTTTGAGTCAATAATTACATTGCTGGGAATATACCTTGAGAATATTATCACAAAGAAAATAAAAAGAACCATCCCTTTAAAGATTTTTTATAGCAGCATTATTTGTAATTACAGGAAACTGGAAGCAACCCAAATATCCTACAATGAGAGAATGCATCAAAAAATTGTGGTGCACGAATATAATGGAATACCATAATGCAATTAAGATTAACAGGAACAAGGAATATAGATAAATCTACACAAGTTTTTTTTTTGAAATAATGCAAAGCAAAATACAAAAGCTGAAAGGAAAAGTGAATGTATGCAATGTACATAAATGCAAATATGAATGAAAATGAGCAGACAAACGTAACCCAAATTGACTTAGAGGGAATTTCTCAAAAGCAGTTGTGACGTTTAATTTATTGAAACACAAATAGTTGCAAAGTAAGTTTGGTTGCATTGATGATTCATATCAAATTTAGGATAAATTAAAAACTAAGGTAAGCCTGGAAAGAGCAAGATGTTTATAAAAGATAAAAGGCAATAGGAAATCAACATAATGGGTTTACCTTCTATTAGAAGCATCCTATTTCTAAACTTTGTTTTCTTCATCAATAAAATGGGAATAATAATAGCTTTCATTATCTACTCAGAATTGTGGTGAGGAAAATGTTTTGTAAATTGCAAAGTACTATTGAACTGATCTGTTATTATATAATAACAAGTGAGCAATGCCTAATAGCACTTACTATGCTCCTTGGTCCTCAACTCAAGTCCTTTTCTATTCTCTACCTATCTTAGCTGAATTGAAGTGCTTTTTTTTTTTTAAGCTCTTGCAAATCATCCTCTGATACCTACACTGGTAGAATGGCTTAGAGGTAAGAATGCTGGATTTGGAGCCAGAAAAATTAACTTCATTTCACTTTAATTCAATTCAATTTAACCAAAAGTTAGACTGTGTACAAGGCATTATTCTAGGTGCTTGGAGTCAACAACACAAGCAAACAAAACAATATGAATAAGAATCTCTGCCCTTAAAGAGCTTGAATCTGAGCTCTCTTATAGGCTTTCTGTATTCTGGTTTATAAAGTAGGGGGGATCAGACTCAATGCTCTCTAAGATTTGCATCTTATGGACAGAATTCCTTAACTTCCTAAATTGGGCAAGAGCTGCTTCAGTTCAGATCCTCTGGTATTTCCCAGTATCCTTCAGATTTCTATTGTGCTTTAGTAATGGATTTGAGAAAATGACAAATAAAAATGACAACACAAAAATATCTGCCTCACACTGAGCTCTCAGCAAACTGTACTCGAGCTGTTAGTAAGAACTGTTTAAATGCACTGTATAATGTTTAATGTTCAGTCACATTAATGTGTAATTTTGAAAAGAAAACAAACCAAAGTTAAACTTTGGATCCT